ATTATGGACATCAGCAACAAGCTCAGACTTTGTCCTCACACTCAAGTATGTGTTTTCTGCATGTTTTGATTCTAAAGGCCCTTACCATGTCACCAAATTGCAAATCTATTTCTAAACACATTGGGAACTTTCGAGTCCCTTCAGGCTAAATGATAAAGAGTTTATGTGAATTAAAGATTCTTTCTGACTCCACACAGCAATCTTTTTCAACTTACAATGAAAAAAAAGTCACTGATGAGTTCAAAGCTTTATCATTCAGACAGTATTAAAAAAAGGATGGTGATCCTGCACTTGCATCAGATCCAGGTGCAGAAAACCAAGGGATGCTCTCCAGGAACTAAAGGAATCAAATATCCTAGAGACAGTGCAGAAATGCCAGGCCAACTGGACACAAGCCTAGCAAGGTAGGGAAGCATTACACAGCAGCACTTATACAGAATCGTCTCCCAGATTGGAAATATTAAGGACATGAATTAGAAGACCTCACCTAAGACCATGCAAGCATGGCATACCACCTGTAGATCCAAGCTTGTAAGTCAGCAAAATGCTACACTGAACTATGTACACTAACCATCTCAGAGACCACCAAGCACCACCTGCCTACTCAATTCAGGAGTTTTAAAAAAGGCACCGGAATTTTAGAAGACACTGGTATAAAAATTTTAGAAGACACTGACAGATATTAAATAATGCCTACACAATGTGTTACATAATGTTCTGAAGCACTGAATGTACAAAGAACTGAAAAGTAAAACAACTATGTTAATACAGGAAACAATACAAATGCATATTCTGTCAATATTCTTTAATACTTCTGAAGACCTTTTGGTGTCAGGGATTTTTGATTTGTTTGTTTTGGTGGGTGTCTTTCACCACACCATATAAAACTTTTTTTTTTTTTTTTTTTTTTTTTAGGTCTTGAATTAGTTTTATTATGCCATATATATTTGGTGATTTCAAGCCCAGTTTTTTAGATGTAATTTATCTTTTGAAAGACTTTTAGAAGTTACAGGGTAAACTCCAAAGAACTGAAAAGTTTAGCATACCATTTTCTTTGTGGAAAGATAATTCAGTATCATCTTAGAGTCCTATTACCTACTCTGTTCAAGCAAAACTAACCATTTACATCCTCTCCCATTCCAAGCACTTAAATAGAAATATTTGTCCACCCTCCAGTTCTGTCTTCCCATTAACCATCTGCTTTAAGTAAAAATAACCCTAGAAAGCACATTAAAACACGTTAACAGGCAAAATCATAGAACAGGTCAGCTTGTAAGGGATCTCAAAGGACCATCTCATCTAACCCTTCATGGGAAAGGCAGCCTAGAGAAGGGTATCCAACAGCCTGTCCATTGGTGTGTCGAAAACCTCCAGTGATGTGGACTCCATCACGTTCGCTGGGAGGCTGTCCTGGTGAGTGATCGTTCTCACCGTAAAAAAATTATTTTTTTATGCCGAGATGAAATGAAAATCAGTCCTGGTCCCCGCTAAACGTAGAGAAAGGAAAAAAATAGACCAGGGTAGGATAAAAACTAAGACAGAATACATTTCTCCAAAAAGCTTGGGGCTTTTTAAACCACAAATCGCAATTGATGTAGTTATGTGAGCTACCACCTACCTACACGAAAGAGAAAGTTGGTTTGTCTTGCTTTCCCCCCCGCCTCCTTCTCTGCCACAGAGGTACCGTGACAGGACGGCGCTGGGCACCCCCGCAGCCAGACCTCCCCTGAGCCAGGCTCCCAGGGAGCCCCCCCGGCCCGGCCCGGCCCGGCCCGGCCGGCCGGCCCGGCCTCCTCACCTGCGCCGCCGCCCCCGGGTCCCGGTCGACGTCCCCGGTCCGAGAACCTGCCAAGGAAACACAAACGCCGTGAGCGGCTCGGCGGGGCCGCGGGGGGGCCGGGTGGGGCGGGGTGGGCTCTCACCGCCGAGGGGCCGCTCCGACGCCCGCTCCCGCCTCCTCCTCCTCCATTGCCGCCCCCGGGAAACTTCTGGAGCCGCCGCGGCGCGCCCTCGTCCGCACGAAACCGCCAAGGCCGCGCCGCGCGGGGGCTGCCGGGACGGGAGGAGGAAGCGGCCCCGCAGCCCCGCCCGGAGCACCGCCCCCGCCGGACACGGAGCGACGGGAGCGCCGGGAGGAGACGCCTCTCCCTCAGCCCTGGCCGCCCGCCCCTTCCTGCCCTGGCGGGGCTCGGCGGCTCCTTCCTTGCCGGAACGATCACGGAGTCGCAGAACATGCTGCGTGGGAAAGGACCCCCAAGGATCATCGAGCCCAACTCCTGGCCCTGCACAGGACCATCCCCATGAGTCACACCATGTGCCTGAGAGTATCATCCAAACGCTTCTTGAACTCTGTCAGGCTTGGTGCTGTGACCACTTCCTTGGGGAGGCTGTTCCAGCACCCAGTCACCCTCTGCGTGAAGAACCTTTTTCTAATATCCAACATAAACATCCCCTGACACCCCTTCAGGCCATTCCCTCGGTTCTGTCACTGGTCACCGCAGAGATCAATGTCTGCCCCTCCTCTTTTATGCTGAGCCCCTCAAGACAAATCTTGTAATTTATTTTTTTTAGTTGTTAATTGATAGCTGTAGCTGGTCCAGTTATGATTAAGCAGTTGCACTGTGAGCATCGTATGCTTGTCTAATCTTTTGTTTTAAAGGAAAAGCAAAGACAGTTTCAAGGGGAATGGACTGTCTGGACAAGAGCCCCCAGGAGTCCAGTCAGCAGGGCTGGGCAGTAACTGGGGGAAAGGCCATTCCGGCAGTGGGAAATCGCAACCACTGACCCATTGAGCACCTACTTGAAACGGATCCCAGACTCAAATGGGGGGAAGAACTGTGCCTGTGGACTGATTAGCATGAGAAGCAAGAGATCACAGAATCAATTAGGTGGGAAAAGACCTCTGAGATCATTGAGTGCAACCTGTGACCCAACACCGCCATGTCAACTAGACCATGGCAATGAATGCCACATCCAGTCTTTCCTTAAACACCTCAGGGGATGGCGACTCCATCACCTCCCCTGGCAGCCCATTCCAATGTCTAATCACCCCTTCTGCAAAGAAACTCTTCCTGATGTCCAACCTAAAACTCTCCTGGCACAGCTGAAAATACAACTAGCAATAGAAGTTAGAGTACTAATTAATGAAAAAGTTGCATAATCTGTAACCAATGAATGCTGATACCTTTGTTTGTTAAAATTTGTAATTAGTGTGAAGTTTTGATAAGCAGAGAGCCAGCCTCTTGTGGGTTACCATCTACCTCCCTGCTTTGCATAAACCAGAATAAAAACCAGAAATACCTTGCCTCAGTGTGTGAGCTGATGCTGCACACTGGGTATCCAGCCCACCTTCAGGACAACAGGAGCATGCCTGGATGGTGGACAGGGCTTCCCAAAAGCAGCCTGAGGCCTCCATCCTCCTCCTCCCCCAGCTCCCTCCTATGAAATGCCTCAGAGATAAAAAAGTGCCTTTATCTCCTCTGCAGCCTCACACGTGTGCGGGGAAGAACTGCGACCTCAATTTTATTAATTTCTGACTCAGAATCGGCTGGGGTTTGCACTGGCGTGTTTTGTTTGGCTGCTGCCACAAAGGCAGCTGTGATAAGGGAGGAGTGGCTCAAATTCCCAATGTGGAGCCTTGTTTTATGATTTACTCCAGCTTCTCCCTTCCTTTACCATACCAAAGGGAGTCTGAAATACAGATCGACCTGGCTGGTACATCAGAGCCTAAGGGATATGGGAACAGAGTGATTTCCATTCACTGTTATACAACAGTCTGCTGCTAGAGACACATTACTGCTGCTGGAGATTTTATTTTCTCCACTTCTCCAACTGACATAAACTAAGCTGACAAATAATTTTCCCCATGTAATAGTTGTATCTATGGCATGAAGTTTTGTTGCTGAAGCTGTAACTTTATGGTGCGATTTTTTTTCATTTCATATTTCCAGCAAATCACCAGAACAACTTCCCCACATCTAAAAACACTGATGTTAGTCAAGCATTATCACTTCAGGTTTCCTAGAATTATTAATTACTTGTAGTATAGGAAAAACTCCCCATTTTATACTTTCATTAAACAAACTAGGCTCCCTCTCCAGTGCTTTCGTCAATCTGACATAGCCCTCAGGATGAGAACTGTTATCAGATAGGCTTCTACAACACTTGTCCACATTCCTAGCAATATTGCCAGCACTCCCCAGCTGCAGGGAGCGCTGCCAGATAAACAACCACTGTTTTGGGTATGGCCAGCCTTCCTGGAATTGGGGTGAAGCATGTTGTGTTTGCAGGTGGAAGCCTAACTGCATGGGAGTCAGAAGGAATAAATACTGAATTAACAGGGCAGCTGTGGCAGAGAGTTGTTCAATTGTTTGTAGAGTTACTTCTGTGCAACTAGACCAAACTACCTCTGCTACATTTCTGCTATTAGTTTTTCTAGTAATCATATGCTTGAAGTTATAATTAACATTATCAACCCATCAATAAAACTTCCACATGAATTCAATCACAGAAAGTCATATTTCCTTTAATTTTATACTGATAGAATCATACCAGGTCTGTTTATTTTTAATCCACCTTCCGCTGAAACACTGCAACATGCGAGGTTTTGAAGCCCTCGCAGTTTGAGCTACATTTGTGTGGCACAAGCTACAAACACCTTTGCAATGAATGGCACCCTAGAATTATGTTCAAAATTTTGCGTTGTTTGTCTCTAATGTAGTGGGAGTTGATGGGAAAGGAGAAGTTTAAGTCCAGTTCTTGAATTAAGCTCAACCTTCAGCTGAGCTACAAGAACATACAGTACTGCTGTTTCAAAGGATACCCACAATACGCTGGTTGTGTTCAAGTCTGTTTAGAAGCGATTCATGAATTGCTCATGTCCCACCACAGACCCACACTGACCAATCACCTTCTCCTGTTTCTCACTGTATTTTTGTTGTTTATAATTGTCAAAACATTACAATAATATAAAAACATTTCAGAGTAAATACAGAAAAATGTTTTTTTCATTTGATTTATTTTCATAATAAACCAATTAAAAATACAAAAGACAAGGACCCAAGGTTCAGTGGGCTCCATCATTTAAAAATTTGTCCTTAAATACAAATTCACTCTGTAATATGAATACATATAACATTAGACCTCTAAACATAATGATCTTATTTGCATCTATCAAAAATTTGTATGGAAACAAATTAGCTGAAAAAACTTCCCTGCGACATTGAATGTACAGTATTTACAATCAAAAAAAAAAGAATTCTTTGCAGTATTAATTTCCAAAAACCTGCATAAATTGTATATATTTCATTTCCCTCCCCCCTTACAAAATAATCTGAAGTAGAAAGCAAGATTGTTAAGCTTCATAGTCAGAAAATGGTATGAAATATTTGCACCTGTAGTGATGCCATTAGCTTCTGTAATTAAATATATCCAATGTTTTCATATAAAATATAGACATAGCAATGTCCATTACTGGAATATATGTTTTGTGTACTCTCAATAGGAGTGTATATTCTATTTTGCACACACAAGAGCTTGTGCTGCAAAAATGCAAGAGGATACCTGGTTATCAAATTCTAAAACTGATGTAATTCACTGGTATGAAACAAATACTCAATCATAAAAATTCAAAGGCATGGAATGAAACTGTCTCACTAAAAGTAACTGCTGCTTCAAAAGTTAAGTGATACACATACAGATTAAACAGAAAAGGTTACAATAACAATGTAAATCAGCAAGAGACTGAAAATGTAAAATAAGAAGTTTGAAACTTTGGCCAACAACCTCAGGAGGAAGTCTTCATAGCATAAAAAGCATGTTCCTTCATGCCTGTATTTTGAAAAGTGAGTAATATATAATTTTATTGATATGATAACACTTAGCAATTAACAGAAAATCAAAATCCATCCTAAAGCATGAATTCTAACAATTAACTGCAGAAATTAAGTAGCTTTGCAACATCTTGCTTCAAAATCAAATCATATATATACATATCTGAAAGGTCCCATCACATTTATGAAAATAATCATCCACAGGGTCTTTTTTTAATTATTTAATTATTAATACAAATTGGGTTCCAATGGCTCATTTTCTTGCTTCACTTGCATGTTAGATGGGATACCATTCGAACTGGACACTACCATCACAAATGGCTGCTGCTGGAAACTCTGCTCCGACTGCTCGGTATCGTCTGATTTGTCACCCCCTTCCTTCACTGCTTCTTGTACGCCAACCTGTTTGGTTTCTGGTGCTTTAATAACCGAGGTGATCACTGTGCCCGACGGATGAGACATCACCTGGGAGCTGCTAGGCGAAAATGTCACCACGGGGGTAGTGGCACTGAAGGATGGAGACGAAGCCATGTTGACTGTTCCATTGCAAATTGTCTGCACACTGCTGGTGAGCACCTGCTGAACTTGTGCTGGGCTCAGCACAATTGAGGAAGGAGGCGAGACTGGCTTCTGAGACTGTACCATGACGTTTTCTTTAAGAACCGTCATGGCTTGTGAAGTCGGAATGGCTTGTAAAATGAATTTTTGGGCTGCTGTTACTGAGGCTGGATCTGTGCTGGCTATAACTGTAGTAAGAGGCACTGTCTGGAGTGTTACAGTATGCAGCTGCTGATTTCCAGGAGAAACAACCACTGGAACCTGTGCTGGAGTCTGTAAAGTCCTGTTAAGATTAGAAAAGATTATAGGGTCAGAACACTTCCATGCTGAATTTTTAAAAAATACTTACTATAGAAAAATCATTTGGCATCATAAACATTTATTTACCCAACATTTCCAAAAGAAGTAGCAGTATCTCTCCTAATGAAAAAGAACTGAACCTGACCCCTGAATTCAGCAAGATGTTCTGAAAGTAAAGGTAACATGCATGAACAATACTGCCATCACCAAACTGAACAGCCTGCCTTTGAGACATTGAGTAGGTCATCAAAAAACCTGGGAATCACATCTAAGCCCCCCCATCTCAAGCATCAACCAACATCACAAGCATGACCCACTACACATCTGCCATCAGTTTCACAAGTTACCTTAAATAATTCACAAATCACGAGCCTAAATAATTCATAAGTCAGGCCTTGATTCTCCTGACATCCATATATACATCTAACTATATGCAAAAGAATTCACATTGCAGCAGTAAATCTGGTCAAGACCTTCTCAGACTCCCAGGACACACAGTTCTCTGTCTGCCAGGCTCATACATGACTTCTGGTTCTGAACAGAACCTGCTCCCAAAAACATCACTTTAAATTAGGAGTAATTCCATCAGTTGCAGGCTCAAAGACTTGGGTGCCACATTACTTTCAACAGATGTACAGCTGCAAGGGCAACATTAGAAGGTTAACAGCTGTACTGCTGGAGTACACAGCTACTGCAGTGGACGACAGTGACTTAAATTTTACAACACACTCCAGGTCAAGCAAATAAAACCAAACCAAAAAATCCAAACCACAACATAAATAGTTACTGGGGAGGGAAAGAGGAAGGGAAGAATAACTGCTTTGACATTCTCCTACAGCTTGCTCCAGCCCACTGTGCCATGCTGTCTCTGACAGTCTTTCTTTCCTTCTGCTTGTCATGCAAAGTTCTCTCCAACCTTCCTGTTTCTTTTTAGTGTTTTATCCTGCCTGTCCTCCTCCCCTTTTTTTAGTTTTAGCTCTCCCTTGTATTTTCTCAAAGATAAACAAAAATAACTATCTCCTCCTACTACTTTATTTCTACCCCTACTGAAATCACTTTAGATGCAAAGCAATTTTCTGTCAACATTTCTATTTTGAAGTCCACGCACAGCTCTGCCTCCTCTTTCTTCTGAAGACTGGACATCAGATATGCTCTAAGGATTGCCTACCATATATCTACCATGGAACATCCTCCTTTCTGTAGTCCTATCCGTGTAGCATCTATTTTTCACAGCTCTGTGAAATCCTACTTGCCAGCATTTAGCCATTGACCAATCAACTCTGACTCAGCATATTCAAAATGTCACTTTAAAACCACACTGGCTATCCCAGTTTCAACAAAAAGCTTACCAAAGCAGGACTTATGTGGTGCTGAAGCTATAGGGCAACGTGGTTGGCCATAGTCCAACCACACAGGGAGCTGCATTCCCATTTTCTTAGTGCAGCAGCAGAAGTAAGTGAAGGAATATATGTAGATGATTTGCCAGGTCCTACTCAGCTCGGTCCTCTGGGAAAGGCATCTAGCTGAGCTCCAAAGATTGCCTCCAGCAAGAGTAGCCCCAGTAACCCTGCTGGTATTAGGCTCAGAGCACATGGGTACTCTCTGAGCAGCCTCCAGCTGCCAGTCCCTGCTGCATGCAATCTTTTCCCCCAGCTCCCACACAGCTTGCTAACACAAGGAACAAAACTTCCATCTGTAGCTTTCTCTTCCTCCCAAGAAAGAAGGTTGCAGTACCCAGCAATGCTGCAATAGCAAAACAAATCCAAATCCTTGCCAACGAGGCTTCCACACAGGTCTCATCACAAAGGCCATCATAACCGGGACTCAAAATTTGATGTGACTGACACCTGAGTCATCTTGAGCTCCTTTTTCACTAAACTAGAGACAGCCCAAGGAAGAAGCTCATGGAAATGGGGCTGGAGGTGAAGCACCAGCTAGAGTGATTGCTTCTTTCTTTCAAACTTCTGGAGAACTTGGTGCTGCACCGCAAATACCAACACGGAGCTTCAAGTGCAAGGCTCAGAATGACAGTACCAAGGCTCACATCAGGTGTGAGAAAGGTTATTATTATTAGTGCTAACTCTCTTTTTTGTTTCTTGCCCCCGCAATTCTCCTGGGACCTTCACCGAAAAGTCAGAAATAGTAATAGGATGAGGGCATCCACTAGCTTTTTTTTTTTTGGGGGGGGGGGAAGTAAACTACCTACAGTTAAACAAACTTGCAGTAAAACCAAAGTGTCACATACATACAGCTCAACCCAGGAAAGTCTACAGAGACCAACAAATGCCACTGGAACAGCTATGAAGGAAAGACAACTGACACTTGTCATCAGAAAAGCTTTAAAAGTTTCAGAGTAGATACTGAGTCAGCTCTTTAATCCATGAAGAAACTTACCTGAGCTTGAAGGATTAAGATCAACTCAATAGCTGCAGTTTTGAAAGCAGCACCTGAAGCTGATAGCTTGTGCTGGTATGCCATCCAAGGATTACTTTGAAGCTACTTTCTTGTTCTCTAGTTGTTTTGTAAAAAATAAAAGCTTCTAACTGCTAAATGGCTGTAAAGGACAACCTCGAAAAGTGTGAACTGGATCTAATCAATGCAGAAAGTATCTCTAAAGCACTAGGAGTAACAGCTCTGGGAAAAGAAATCAGGCCATTTGTCTTAGCATACTGTAATTAGTATCTGCATATCGATGCTAAGCCATTTTATTTCTCTTGAAAGCCAGACCCATACCTGTACACCATACTGTGATTAATAGTTTACTCCAGATGCTTTGTCTTTTCCATCAGTCAAGATATAGATATATGATACACAAGTATATAAACCTGTACATACAGATATATGTATACACATGTAGTATGAACCTGCTAAAGTGAAAGCATGCAGCAGGCGTCTGCACAAGCACAGCATAAATATTTATTTACATTACTGGTGGCCAAGCAAGGCATTTTTCTTAATTGTTAAAACTACAGACAGCTGTATCTGTTTACTAACTAAAAATCTACCTGCTCAAACTGTTTGCCTTGAATATCGCTGAAAAAAAATACAGCTTGGTTAATCGTTTTCTCCATTAAAAAAAAAATGTACACACTAATTAAGGTGATTTGTTAACACTGGGTTACTTTATTTTAGGTGCTTTGAACTGTATATTGTGCTATGCTTCCGAATTTCATTGATATTTTGCTAACACCACTTCTGCTCTAAGGTACAAATCTTTTGGTCAATTATTTTAAAAGTTCCTGCTGAGGTTTCAAAAAGAACAAGAACATTGAGCAACAGTGATGAAAAGGAAATGCTGCCATAAAACAATCTGGTTACAACTGAGAAAAGAATGACAAAAATTCAGAAGTCATTTTAGCTTGGCAGAAAATTATGGTCTATTTCTTGGTCCATTTGTTACTGTTAATGGCCTAGAATTGTGCAATATCTTATTAGCTCATCAAGAGGTAACTAGTGATAAAGCAAACAGTAAGTGACAGGCAAGAAAAACAAGTTTATTCATGGTAATTTACGTGAAAATTATGAAATGGAAACGATACCAATAAATACTGAAGCTACAAGCCAAGGAAGATATAAAAAAAATTGAAGCTACAAGCCAAGGTAAACAAAGTATTTCACAGTACAGTAATAAAATGAAACAATGCAATATTAAGAAACATAGAGAGATGTACCACAGAATTCCCTCTCCAACATACACATTGTTTAACCTACAGCTACAGAGGAAATGACGGCCTGGAGGTAAATAGGCTAATTTCCAGAGACTTAGCCCATTTGTTCAATTAACTGGTTGCCAGAACTCATTCAGTCAAGCTAGGAAGAATAAAGGAGGTGAAGAGGTGGGATGAGCTTGTTAGAATCACTTTGGATGCCTAAGTTGAGAGGTGATCTCCTCTGAGTGACTATACAGAGAGCATCAACCAAATGCTACTCAGGAGCTCTACTGTTGCTGCAAACTGCTCCACAGCTGCACTCATGGACATGACCCTCAGTCATCAGCAATCTTATCAATACTTCACCCCAGAGTATTTTCTCATAGCCACCGACTGTTCTACAGCACAAGCCACACGGACAGGTGCTGCTAAGCAGTCCAGCAGGAGATGTCCATGAGAGGCAGAAACGTGCTTGATGCTGATGCCCTCCTGCCCAGTCTCCTGGGCACAGCCTCCTCTGAAGTGGTGGCGGTACACGTTCTTGTCTAATGCTTTGCCTGAACAACATCATTTCTTAACGTCATGAGGACAGAGGACTCAGCTCTTAAGGCTGTCCTTTTTACTGACCCATGGAGTTTTACATTCTTCTTACTAGAATTTTTCAAAACTGCACAGTCACCTGAATTAAAACTCAGGAACTTTGCTACTAACAGAAATCTGCAGAGCCCCTACCTCTTTCAACAGTGGAAAGACATGGAAAGAGAGCTCCTACGGATAGCTTCTTATTGTGCAGAAACAAAATTAGTCTGACTAGAGGATTTTGAAGTCCTTCCTGTCATAAGTAGTTGCCTTCTTGCCTACCACAGAAACTAAATCAGAACTGCGTTTAAGAAAAGTTCTTCTCAGCTGCAGGAAAATCACATCGAAATGTTTGGTTATAACCAAAGTCTTGACAGAAGATAGATAGCTGTGACAGAAGTCGTCCCTATTACAAATGCGTTCTGAGAGACAAACCTTGTTGTAAGATAAAGAGAGTTTCTTGTAGAAGCCCACTGAGATCACATCAGTCTATTCCTGACCAACATCTCCCTCAGGAAGGACATTTTTCTCACCATCCTGAAATCTACATTGCAGACAAGCCTTCACTTAAGAGATTACAGAGATCAGCTCTTTGTAACAGTCACCTGTGTTTGCCTTCCTTTGGGGAAGGCTATGGCAGCAGTGAGTCAGATCCAACAGTATCTACTAGTCAGTGTGCTGGAGAGCTTCTACTGCAGGCCTGCCTTTGGAGCACTGATAGGAGACTACTGTCTAACTGCAAACAGAAGCAAAGCAAAGCACGGGCACTGATGGTGGCCAATCAAAGGATAGCCTTCTAAATTAGCCAGAAGTTGAGTTGTCATTGTGGTAGCTTGGACAGAACATTTTAGAAGAGCAGAATTTGGACTCAGAATTGAATACTGATAGAAACATTGTGTTTCATACCTGAAGCCTGCTAAAGCATTGTAAAAGGTCTGTCAGCAGTCAGCTAATTCCAAGTTTCTTGGTACACAGAGCTGCCAGCTAGATGATTCAGCTATGTCCAATACAGTCAATAAGAGACAGACACATAATTTAAAATTACTCACTATATAATCTTCTCTGAACCGTAATGTGAGAACCTCTTTTCATTACATCTTAAATCACTACTACTCTAGATTAAAGGCAAATGAAAATGCATTTTCATGAATCTTTTTATCTCCAGCCCTCATCATTTAAGGGAGAAATTTAATTGCCCAAACACAGGCGCCTTACAGCCCTGTATGATGTCCTGCACAAGGTAAGTCCCTAGCCTTACAGGAGAGGTACACTTTCTGGAGCAACAGAAAGGATGCTCTTTACACTCAGAATGACCCAACGACCATGGAGCTGAATCCCAGGCCAGTGCCTCCTAATTCAAAGCTAAAATACAATTACTCAAATAAACCAGATGTTCAGGTTAACCTAAGTTATTCTGATTTAAACAGAAGAATTTTACAAGCACTAAATTCAAAGAAACTTTTTCTTCCTTGTAAATGGTGTCTCACTGGAAAAAGTTAGCAATAAAATGCTCATCCAGAGTGACATTTTTATTTTTGTCTTATCATTACAAACATTTGGTGCCAAACTTGGCTCCCAGTTACACAACTGGAGACTACAGTAACTGTGCTTGCATACACCAAGCCAGAACAGTTAGATCTGCAGAACAGCAGTGCGTTTACAATTTCAGATATTCCCACTGGGGATACTACATGTTTTCCTCAGTCAGCAAAATCCAGTTTGCTTGACCTGACCCTGCTCCTGCCCTGTTTCCTAAGCTTCAGTTAACAGATCACCACAGCCTTTCTCTTTAAGCACTGGGGCTGAAGAGGCATTTATCCTTGGAAAGTAACACTTCTCTTTGTCTCCCCTTCATACAACAGCACCAAAACTTGTATAAAAAGCACATTAAAAGCCATCCAAAAGCCAAGACCTTTCCACTTCAGAGTAAGATACAAGCTCTGTGCAGCTATAAATGAAGTTGCTGCCTGTCTCCTGCAAAGAACCAACTGTGGATTCTCACTGGCATGCCCATTTCTTTGAGAAACACCAAGAGGCCCTGGGGAACAGCCGCAACACTCTCTCAGTGATGCTCTGGGAGTAGTCTGTACCAGACAGTGTTGCCTAGTGCAGGGCAGGGATGCTGACATGAGCCCTTCACAACAGTCTTCAAATGTGATTCTTTTACCAAGTCCCTCAACAGAGAAGATGTAGGTTCAGAACTTACTCTCTGAAGGCTACAGTTAAGTGTTAAGAAACCAATTGTTTTGACCTCAAAGATGCTCAATATTTTCTCTCTTATTTTTTTATTCTTAAAACACAACAGAAGCAAATTACTGCAGAGGGAAGACCATTTACTTCCATCAAGCAGAGGAGTGAACATTCACATGAATAAAACTTTAGAACTACATTGCATAAGACAAACTATATGGGTTCAATATGTTCACACTTTGAGGCAGAGCCCAATCACTAAACAGTATAAGTCAGAAAAACTTTCGAGAATCATAACCAGACCCCAGTTTCTGTTTTGCCCAAAATGACCTTGACTATTTACATGCCCCAACCACTGAACAGCAACTGGTAACCAATGTTGCTATTTGTCCTCATTCTTCCTACCATAAAGTGACTCCAAACACAATCCTACAGAGCATGTGCATACATCAGAAGGTCTGCCAACTCTTACTCTACCATGGCATTCATACCTGCTGTACATTTTCAAATCATGTAGATCACCCATTTCAACCCTTATGGAAGCCCCACTGCAGCAATTCAGAATGTGTACACAAACACATTCAATTGCTAGAGATTTAGCTGTTTGAACAAACCAACCTTTGTTTCAGCCTTATTATAAAACAAGAAAAAACATATGCTCCGAAATAAGTTCAGTGTGTCATTCTACCTCACCAAACTACTTTAAGTTTGCACTTTTAAGTTGAGCAGAAATGTATCTGTCATAAATTGTATTTTGAGAGCCTGGAATGGGCAGTGACTATTGCACAGGATTCATCAGCACCTTGGTTTGCAGCTTGTCCCATCGTGGTGGTTATTATTTTCATTCTAACTGCTCAGAAGCTGTAGTATAATCTTACTTAATCAGCAATACTTCTATACCATACCATTCTGAAAAGGTCAGATGGTTCCTTTTTTCCCCTTCATTTAAGACACTTTGTCATCTTCGCTAAGAAAAGTGCAATTGAAGACTTCATGGAATAATGTTCTAAGTTACAAACAATGGATGTGAAACAATGCAATATAGAACTCTAAGGCTTTAAGGCTTTTATTTAATTTGAACCTCACACATATATCATCTCTACTACTTTTTCCCCTTAGTTTATTACCCAATGTCCGATTGTGAAATACTGTAATGCAATAACTGGATGTCATAATGTCACTGAACAGCTTTCCAAATGTTAGGGTGGACTTCTAGCCTGCATTAAGTCTTACTTCTGTTTGTTGTTACCATTCCTTATACCATCTATACTACTGACATTTTTTGTGATACATAATCTAGTGTAGGTCTAGCCTAGACCTATTTAACTCTGCAAATTCCTGAACTTTCTCCCTATTAGTGTTTAATATTATTGTTCTTCTGACTTATGTGGTACTGCATAGCCTCAATTATGTCTGTACTTATTTCCTTTCACTATATATTGCCCTTGTCAATTTTTACAAGTAAGTAAATCCTTCATCAAGCCCAAACTCATTGGACTGCACTGTACTGAGTAGCTTCATCCCTAAGCTTTAAAAACATACCACACATCACCTTGATGCAGATTTTTATTAATTCTCTAAATTCATTTCAAAACTGGAATTTTTTTGTTAAATCCTTCATAATCATCTTTCACATAAACTTCTGATAAAATATAATCTTTCTCTCTCCTGTTCTTTGGAAACAAAGAAATTATTTGGTCGATTACTGTCATTACCCACTTCTCTGACAAAAAAGCATGGTTTATCTCAGAGAGTCAGTACCACTCCAAAACTACTGGTGGCTCTGGATGTAATTTTCAAAGGAAAGAACAGAGGAAGGGAGAAGGAAATAGCATTACTGCCATTTTGCAGCAGAAAATTATAACCACTAACAAAGCAAATATCAAAAAAAGTTATGATAATTGATTGAGAACGTGCAGCTCCTGAATCATATCCTGAAGCTTTCCTGAAACAGCTTTAAGGTCCACAACCACTATATACAATTCTGACATTCCTGTGAGGAGCCTAGATTGCAAGAACATTTGTTTGTTTTAGGTCTTTTGTAGTTAGTATGGCTGAGATGAACAAGCTCCATATGCACCCGTCCATTGGGCGATGCCTCAGGCTAGGGTAAAATCAGGCTTAAGTGACTTTTTAGGATGCTGCTACTAAGGGGTAGATGCAAAAGAGTCATGATACTGTGTAGTGTTAGCCAGTTGACTTACAAATTCAGCCTGGAACCATGACTGTCTCCAAAAACAGTCTGCAGATACACAGCTCCCATGAAATTATTCTGTTAATTGTTTTCTAAAATCAAAAGAACTTGTTCTTGTAACAGCAGCAAAATGCTAGAGCAGATAACATGGAACTTTCCCTTGCTGTAACTGGGGACAATACAAAAGCTTAAAGAGATGACAAAAAATTCTTAAGATGAAAAAGCAAGAAGGAAAATCTTTCTGAAGGGATCATGCAGACCCACCATGTATAATTCAAAAGCAAAGACACCAAACAATTGGTGTAGAAGCAGAGACATGAAAACACAGTTTCTGTTGTGGAACAGAATTGACAATGCCAGTTTTAAGGAGTTGTGTATTTTAACTCTCAAAAGGATGTGCATCAAGTCTAATACCATGGGAAGGATGCACTTCCCCCCACCAAAGGCAGAGTGTTTACGTGTGTATGTGTCACAGTATGCTGTAGTCACTCTAAATTCCTAGGATCAACCACAAAGACATTGTTTCATGTCAATTAAACTGGAAGACTTGCATTTCTTGGAAGCAAAACAATCTGCTCTATCTAGCCATTAGCCAGTGAATTTATTATTATTCAAATATTTATGTTCTGTACATTTTCTTACCTTATATTCTGAACCGAGGAATTCAACGATTCATCCGGAACATTACTGGTTACAGCTGCATGTCCTTCTGTGAGGGGCTGCAACGGCTGCATTACGTGAACTGTCCGAAAAAGCTGAGTGGATTGTACTGGCTGCGGAGATTGCATTGTCCTCAAAACTTCTGAAGTCAAGCCAGGTGTCTGCTGCTGTCCAACTTCTACATGCTCCTTCAGCTTAGCAGGCTTCGCGTTTCCTGTTTTTAGCATCGCGGTTGATCCTCCCTTTGTTCCTGCGTTTGCAGATGCTCTAGTTCTGCTTGATTGGTTTCTGTTGGCCACCGCAGTCGAGAGCAGAGTTGAATCTGATGATTCAGTGCTAGGGCTCGCATCCTCATCATCAATATAGATGAGATCTTTTGGCATTTCTTTAAATTGATACACTAGACGCTGACCTTCTACTTTAGCCAAGATTCCTCTTTGGTAATAGTATCTGTTTAAAGCATACATACATCAAGTTACACAGGTTTTTTGCCAAAACCAAAACAAAGCCACAAAACTCCCAGAAAATAAACATAGCACTAACAAGTAAACAAACTTTTAAGTGTCTAGTTTCTTCATCATAAAAAAGTTGCCAGTTTAATAGCATATTGTTTTCCTCAAACAACTTTCATTTACTGGTATTTCATGTCACGTTTTACCTCCAACCTTAAATACCTCTGCGGAGAAAAAGAAAAGAACTCCACGACTTGGCAGCTCTGCTATCAACTCATACACTTTAAAAAGGTGCATGAAACTTTCAATTCTCCTCTTGACTCATACAGTTCTTTCAGTTACCTGAATTCATGCTTATTCACCAGTGAGCACAGGCAGACATTTCAGCTACAACAAAGCAAAGGGAACAGGACAGGAAGGCACTACTTCTGTTATATTTACAAACTAATATGACAATTTGAAATTACGCAGACTTAGGTGAGAGGTGAAGGGAAATTAAAAGAAATGCATAGCTGCTGAGTTGGACAATTATCCAGGTAAGACTGAAGCTTCGTGGACATCTGCTTATTTTGCAGTCTTTTATGTATGAGAAAACCCCCGGCTTGATAGACAGTGGCACACAATTCTATGTTTTAAAACTGTCTGTACACACAAGTTCAGAGAAGTGAAATCAGATCTGAATTCTAAAACCTTATCTTCCACTGGAAAGGGGATCATGTGCAACAAGTAGAAATAATTTAATGAATACACCTGCATTTAGCTTTTTTTTTTAGAAAAGACATTCAAATTTATGTAAAAGGCTTGCCCCACTTGAAATCTTCAGTCTTTTACTTTGTCTGTCTGACTCTGAAGATGCAGTTTTTGCAGCAGCACTGAAAAATGTCTGTGCTGAAAGTGAAGGTGACTGACTTGGAGTTGAGGTTAGTAAGGGTTACTTTAGTGAGCTAATTTATTTTCCTAAAATAATTTCTTCATTTTCCAAACTAATAGAATACTATGTTGTTATACAAATTAGATGAGGCATTAAATGCACACAAACCCTAAGGCAACAAAAACAGTCTTTTATTAAAAATGCACATACCTGAGAGCTCTACCCATTGTTTCATAATTCATGTCAGGTTTGTTTTTGTGTTTTCCCCACAACCTGGACACAGCCTTGGAATCTACCAGTTTGAAAATGCCCTTCTCTCTTTGAGTCCATTTGATATATTTAGGACACGTAGCTTTGTCCTGGAGCAGTGCTAGTAAGAACTCCCAGAGATAAATTGTATTTCCTAAAATGAAAGTATTTCAAAACACACAAAAAATAGAAAAAATATTAGTTGACCATATTTTATTAATGATGCAAATAATCTTAGAAGGAAGAAGCTGGGATCTTTACAAATAGATTGTAATATATAATCAAGACTAGGAAATAGTGATGGAAGAGGACAGGAAAAGATTCCTGTGAGTTATTATAATCTGGATGCCCAAACACCCCAGCCACTTTCTCTGTACCAGTCAGGCACCAGTCAACCTACAGCTGCACCATTCCAACCACCAAGATTAGACAGCATTAGTCACCTACGTATCCATTTCCCTCCTGCCTAATCCGGTTACAGAAGCAGTCACTACTGCTTTATCTTGAATAGGAACATGTTCAAGTCTATGATCTAAAAATGCTGGAAATTAGGTTGTTGCTTAAATGCTTTGCTGAATTGAGGTGAGTATTATAATCCTTTAAAAGGCTAAACAAAATCCTTACTTTAAAGAATTAGATTTATATGGGGCAATCAGTGTTATGTGCTGAGGTAGGTATATCTTCAAGGATAAAGTACAGAAAAAGGTAATTTTTTTTAATCCAGTGAGCACTTGCACTTGCTGGTAGACAACCTCAAATTTAATTTTACAAACAAGCAGGCACAAACACTTATATATGGAAATCCATCACATCTGTTCAGTGTTTACCACGTATAAAGAAACAGTATTAAAATCACAGATTGTGAATACTTAAAACAAGCACAAAATATGCATATTTTTTCTGAACCACATTTAAGGAGTCTAAACTCATACAACCAATTAGATCCTTTTTTCTGCCTTCTTTTTTTTAAGGCTTTTGGGTGTTTGACTTTCTTTTGGGAATCTGAAGCTGCACATAGGCTTTTTAGTTGTTAGTCTGAGAAAGTAAGTAAAAACTTCTTGTATCACGTCCCAGAAGTAGCTGTGCAAAAACACAGCAATGATAGCATGTGCAAGTTTCATAAATTCCACAAAATATGATGCCCAGCACATCAGAAGATGACAGGATCACTTTTGATAGCTTCAATTTAACCCAGCAGATTTTTTTCCATTTTAACAACCACCAGTCTGATCTCTTTTTCTCCTAAAAATGAAATTCCCATAGTACTGTATTATAAGCTATATTTAGTAAATACTCATCAAAGTCATCAGCACTGGCAGTACAAAAATGTTAGCAGCTCCTTCAGCAGGTGGAAGCTTGGAAAGTGAGCATTCCTAGAGAAAAAACAACGCCTTTGCAAATGTCTCCCAGCTTACATAATATAGTCTGTTTGACTTCAGATACCCCGGAGGTAAAGGTTAAGACTGTCATACAGGAGTGAGAGCATTCCCAGCCATTTATGATCTAATCCAGGGTGCTTTTGTTGTAGTCTAGACCAAAAATGCTCAGCTGCATCAAGGCAATCTGAAAATTTGTCACTGCTTAGCCACTGAAATCACTATGAAAACGACTGGCTGCAAAAACCAGGTCTGCTTTACCAACAGGCTTTTTTAACCTCCTCTGAGTCACAACAGAAGAAATAGGTAGAAAACTCAGTTTTCTCTAAGCATTGTATAATATAATTATATGGAGAACTTGTTATTTTAGCATACAAGTTCCCCTTAGGGAATACACAGGCAGCTCTCGTGATTTTCTAGCTTCTTCCCTGCCACGGCTGGTCATATTAGTATGTCTTTTACTTGAATTCTATGTTTCTCAAAATGCAAAACAAATGCTCTTCATAGCAGGCAGTGGTTTCAGGCAACACACTCCCTTTTATTTCCTTCAGAATTAGCAATTTTGTAACAATGGACAAATGTGAATTATGATGTATCGTTGCCATCATCGACAGAAACATTAGAATCTTCTGCCTTTTAATTTTTGTGCCTAGCTGCTTTCATATTTTCTATTATTTCATTTGAGCACCACATGGAGGTTCCTCTGATATTCTTCTTTCATTTTTACTTAAAAATCAGGTTGTAATTAAAAAAAAAAAGGCAACAAGGTGTACTTAAAATTAATGGCACTAACGTTAAATATTTATTGCTTGCCAATAGTATTTTGTTCCTGTTATTGCAGAAAACGCCTCTTCAAAAAGAAAAAACCCAACACATTCATTTGTCAGTATAGAGACTTTTCTGACTTCATGAGTCTGACATTGTTATGACACCATTTTCCAAGGTTGGCCAGGCTTCTGTCCCAGCAAGTACTGCCTGCATGCAAGCCCATCAGTCCCTAGGCATAAAAGCAGGCAGCCGTGACATGGGGGACGTTCATTTCCAGCTCCCACTGAGTGCAGCACAACTCGCTGGGTCCACAGCATCAGGCTGCCATTCAGACATGGCACGGGTGCAGGCGTTGGACCCAACAGCAAAGCAACAGAGCTGTTGACAAAACTGACAGGCATTACTGAACAGTCCAGTCTGGAGGAAATGATTTATTGTATCAGTTATGTGGCATCTATTTTTATTTCTCCCTTTTAAACACAGGAGGAATTAAAGTATCAAACCCCCAAGTTTTCTGCTGAAGTCTTCAAGCTGTGTTGTAACTTTTCTCCAAATTCAGGGCTCGGTACTTCCTGCTGCTGACTGGCAGCCTTGATTAGCTCCTCATGCAGAATTAGACACAGATGGAACACGTTTTCAAAGATCATCCGTCAAAATAACCACAGCCCAAGAAACACTAATACAATGCAAAGCGCTCCCCAGGACTTCACTGAAAACATAGCAGACCCTGTGGGGGGTTGAAGAGTTTCCAAGAACCCTTGCAACTGAAGGGACAAATACATTTTTCTCCCTAGGAACTGAGTATTTCACCAAGCTCACATGCTTGTCTTCTACTTGCCTTATGATGAGATATGTTAACCATCCGTGAACATAAGACTTGGGTTTACATCACAAGAGAACTGGTGAACTTCTTCTTTTTACAGGTCACTCAGAAACAATGTTCTTTTAAAAACTTCAGTGATAACTCTTTGACTTACCCTTTCCATCTTTGTTTTTCTTTTTCACAGATATGTTTGGAGTTGTAGTAGGAGACTCAGAACGAGATGGTTTCGGTTTTTTCCCTGAAATAAACCACCAGTGAGTCACTGCAGCTTTAAAAAACCAAACAAACGAACAAACAAAAACCCAAACAAAAAATCAAACAAAAAAAAACCAAGCAAGGACCTAAAAAGGGAAGAGATATGTTTCCCCAGTTCAAAGAATATTCAATTTCTACTAAGTTACGAACTCACTTCTATGCTGAACTTCTTCATTTTCTAGAGCAGGATTGGACCCCTTATGCTCTTACTGTACTTTTAGTAAAGACTATATTCACTTTCCTGAAGTCCATGTGCTTTGGAAATTTCTGTGGCTATTTAGGTACTCTTAAGAGCACTTAAAACAGACAAGATGAGAAGAATAAGCTATTAACTCTGGGTAAGAGTTTAAAGAGGAAAAGACAGATAAAATACAGAGCACTATCTTGTTCCCTCATCACCAAACTGGAATTTAGGGACAAAACAAGATTGCCTGCTTGTTTAATCAATTGCAAGTCTCCACTGACAGCATCAAACTACACTGTCGTGTGAAACAAACATTTTTTTCCATCCTGTTGTCTTTTACACCTTTTTCAACAGTGGCTGCACATAGAGGAAAGTCACTTGTTTATAACAATCAGAAGAACCAGTAACAAGCTCTGAAAAAAAAATCAGTTTTTAAAGTCATAAGAATGGTGGCTCTATTTGGTAAGGAGGACTGAAAGAAAGAAGTTAGTTACAACCGATTAGAAGAATGAAGAGCGTTCATTTGAAAATGCTGCAAAATCAACTACTGAAACATAAGGAAATAAAAAAATCAAAGTCACGCTGAAATATTTTTCAATATAAAACCTTGAACCTACTCCTTTATTAGTTCTCATTCTCTGCAATGGCAGCTTTTACAGGTGAAGTAATTAATCAGAAACCTTCAGAACTTTCTTATGAAACAGCAATTTATCTTATCAGGTTTTGCAGTGACCCCTTACTACACTGACATTACTTAAATTACTGCCTATGATCCTTTGAGAGGCAGAACAGACTAAGCAAACATAAGACTCAGAGAAACATATTTCTAGTCCAAATAGCATATTTTCATAATTAAAGATCTAAAGAAAAATATTTTTCTTTTTCTCTATTTATTGCAGTTCAAAAGAACTGATGTTCTAAAAAGAGGCAAGACCAATAGGCCTGAGCAATCCCATACACTATAGCTTTCCACTTTCGGTTTTGTTTTTAGGGGTTGTTTTAGTAAGGAAACAACTCTGCTGCAGAGTAAGAGCGACAGTTTTTCACTAGCTCTGAAAAAAAAAAAAAGCTCAGTGCCAGGTTGCACTATCTCCTTTGTTCTAGACTTCCAAGTATAAGGAAGTCATAAGAAACAGTGGTTTGAGCACTCATCGTTTGACATTAGCAGTCTTGCTAAGTCCACCTTTGCACCTTTTTCTTTCTCTTTTTTTGACAGGGTATGAGGGAGGAGGGATAGTTAGTTGAGAGAGCTATAGTGAAGAAACTCTAGTAATAACTGGAGTCCGCTAACTTTCTTGCTTCCATTCAGACAGGATTCATGACTGAGGATAGGACACAAACAACACTCACCATTTTGGCCAGTAATGTTTTCCTTGACTTGAATGAAAGTGGGAGGGAGGAAATCCTACAACATTGTTTTTTTCATATATCACGATATGAAAGGATAAAGAATACTGGGGTATATTTTTAGAAAGTTTTTATCCACTCACCATTATAGGTTGCAAAAATGTCAGTTTTCCCTAAAAAGTCTAGATGAAGTCACTCTGTATGGATCAGCCTCCAGGGCACAAGAAATCCCTCAGGGTAACTTTGGTTAAGTGCTTTCCCCCCTCTAAGTTGTGTCACAGGAAGACTCTGTTGGGTGCTAGTCTTGCTCCCCCTCTTGAACAGGTGTAAATGTAGCTATTAAGGAGTAGGGAGTGTTATTTTGATGTCACTCATTTAGACCTTATCTCTAAATACCTTCAGTTCTTAAGACACAATGAAGTGGATGAGATCGCAATTGGGTCATGACTGAACTACTGCTGGTAAGCTTCAGGAAAAAGAAGTACTGATCCCATGTAATTTACATAATTCTGATTAGAGATAACCTAGGCTACTAAATATGAATACTCCGGCAACAGCAATTCTAGGCTCTCTTTCTTCAGCCTAGACTACTTCAGGACATCTCATTTGGACAGTCCTCTACCAGGAGCCCAACCAAAATTAACAACCAGTGAAGAATGTGAAACTTCTTTACAGAAATGTATCCATGTTACTGCTGTATATCTAGGCTAGAGATACTTAAAACGATGGTTTCAGACCACACTGTGAGCTATAATCTCCAGGCGCTGACTGATACCATCAAGAGAAACAATCAACAGAGACACACCAGATATGTTTCCTTTGTTTAAAAGAAGGTATTTTTTGAAAGCACATTAAGCAGTAGCACGCATTCTTCTTTGGTTCAATAGAGCATGAATTTATTCCTTTTCGGAGTACATCACTAAATTCCTTTTTAGGAAAGAATTTTACAAAGAGGAAGGATGAAGAACATGCAAGAGCTAAGCCTTATGAGGGGCTACCATAGTTTTGGCTAGCTAACTGAATTTATAATTGGTATTTTCACTACCTTCCCATAGCAAATACAGGACTGAAGGTATTAGTACAGCAAATTTCCAAGTTTCTTTGTCTGACACTCCTTTGTTTTTCCTGTCTTTCTGATGCGTAGTTTGGCAACTCAGTGCTCAGACATTCACGAGTACAAACATCACACTGAACACCTTTGGAGTTGAGCAGATGGGTGGATACAGTTCTCCTACTGTAGCAGTAAGGCCCACAAGGAAAGGAAGTGAAATCACCTCATCACTTCTGGAGAACATTTTCTTGGGGAAGCTCTACTTGACAATGCCATTCTGGCCCAGTTAGCTGGCAACGCTCTGAACTATTCATCCCGCTAAGTTTAGATGATGGGTTAATACACTAGAAGTCTATAAAATCTACAAAACCCCTATAAAATCATGAGTGACATGGATAGGGTAAAATGACCACCACCATTTGCCATGCCTCAAAACTGACCAAAGGAAGGGAAACAGACTGCACTTAAAAAAACCCTCTACAAACAAACAAAACACCCAAAAGAACCTCACCCACCCACTGCACATCATCCTAAAGGGCATTGCAAAATTAATAACACTTTGCAGCAATTCTTGTACATCAATGACTTATAAAAGCCGGGACATTCTGAAGTAACACTTCAACATCACTCAGGCCATACCACCTACCTCATGAACACTGAAATTCACTGAAAACTAGTAGCTAATGAAACACTAAGCTGATGAATCTTTTCTAGTGTTTGGGGTTTTTTTCTAAAGCAAATACACACATTTGCTGTGAAGCAACTGGTTTTCTAACCTACAGCTAGGGAGGAGGAAGGAGTGGGTGTAAGCAGAAGCACAACACGAAAGAGGGTATGAAAGCATCAAACCGAAGAGGTTAAATATCTGGCAGACAGTAGCTCCTTGTTTTGACACACACAGAAGTCAACAGTATAAAAGAAGAAGGAAAGAAAAGAACAAAACAAAAAACAGTTTAAAATGCTGTGGTTATCTCACAGTAGTGCGCACAGCACGGTAGCTTCCCAGCAGTACTTTTAGGGCAGCTGCTGGTAAAGCTCCCTTCCACAGCAGTTTCAGTTCAGCTTTCTAAGGGGAATCAGAGACTTCCTGACCCACACCCCTGCCTGCAGGACCTTGTGACACATATGGGGCTCAGGAGGCTTCCTCAAGATCTCCACAGGCTGCTATGCTCTCTCTCACAGATAACTCCCAACATTTGGAATTAGCAGCAAAAGTAGAATTAAAAATGCACTCCTATTCAGCAGGATAGCTGACTGGGTAGGTAGCTGACTGGCTGGGTAGCAGGATTCCTGTTTTGGAAGGCTTTTATTTATCATGCTCTAGGGTTAGCCTTAGGATTAGCTCCAGAAACATAATGCCCTTGTTTTATTTTTCTTTTTTTTTTTTTTAATTTGTTGCAACAGCACCTAACATCTGTCTATATTACATGACTCTCTTTCCTTGTAGACATCAGCTTCAGACCTCTGATGGGGTCCATGTTGAAGTAGGTAGGAAAACAGGAGCAGAAGGTCTGGCTAACACCACTTCATTACTCTTTGGCACAGCACTGACTACAATGGAACATCACTACACTGTGTAAGCGTAATCTGTTAGAAATGGGATTAACACTTATTATAGCATGCAGCTACTAAAAAAAATTAAATCCTTCATATTTAAGAAAGCTAAAAAGCCCTCCTCATTCTCATCCCCTATTCTGAACTGATCAAGTATCTTCAGCTGAAGCTAGGTAAGGGCTAATGAAAGTACTTCAGGATTCACAATAACAAAAGCTCTATAGCTTGTATTGCAATTCTGCTCTGAAGAAGAAATATTCTTACAAATAGGAAGAAGCAGAGATTTCTGTTTCCTACAGGATAAGCCATCTTTGCTATGTCTACAACATCATTAGTCTAAGCACCAGTATATGTGCTCACGCTACTCAGGAAGAAAATGCTTTTTCTGCATTTCTAACTGAGCCCACTCAATTATTTTGGCCTGATAACTAGAATGGTTCCAGACATGCACAGGGGAACCGACCATGCCACCCCCTGCTCTCCTACTCCACACTGCTGTTCTCTGGTATCATCTTACCTTTTCTCTTCTTTGGTTGTTCAAATTCTGGAGTCTCTGGTGATTCAGCGTAAGGGTCTGGGGCTTCCACCACCTCAGGGATTCCATCAAGTGTGACTGACACATGTGTAATAGGAGCCACCATATCATCCTCTTCAGCTGTGCCAAACATAGTTGCTTAAAAGAAGAGGACAAAAGGAATATTTTCACACAGCCATGAGGACTTTTAAAAGTTGGGTTTAGACCAAAAATTTAAACATAGAATAAAATAAAACTATGACACTTCAGGCCTTCAAGGGACAGAAGACTAGTTCATAAGGGAATATATGAGCTGAAAACATTTTACACAAGCAGAAGCACTACTAAAATAGACAAATTTAATGATATAACCCACCTCCCCAAAAAAGCACAATTGATCACACATTCACATTTAAGGCAATCTGCAAATATAAGTGTATGCTCTTTTATCCTGACAACATGCTAATCCTCTATCAGCCAAGCAAAACACTGCAATCTAAACCACCCAACTTCATTCATACCTTCCCTTTGTAATTCTTGATTCTTTCTTTTCCTGTTAAACTCTGGCATGGCAATGAAATCTTTCAATGCATACGACATTGGATTTCTGATACCCAAACTATGTACGTAAAGGGTATCTGGAAGTTATAAAATAATCTTACCAATTCCATGCAACCACACTGCACTGAATCCCTCCTCCTTTCACAAACAAACAAGGCAAATACAGATTAGATTTTCTTTCATAAAAAACTTACTTATTCTTTTTTCATCCAACATAGGACCAGGGGAGTCCATATTGAGAAGTGCTTCAGCAGCCTCGATTGTTTCCATTGTTTCATCTCCATTATGACAAGATGCTTCAACTAAAAGTAAAGAAGAAAACATAATTCTTAAGAAGCTACAAACTGGACTTAAAGCTTAACACAATATTTATTCTTATTTCATTTCCAGAAAAAAAAAAAAGAAAACATAGTAAACATGGTCTTCTAGTACATGAGTAGAAGCAGATTAGCTGGGGAGAAAATGCAGACTGCAATAATTTATTTAGTACAGTACATTTTTCAGATTACATGTAAAAAAAACCAAAACCAAAACCAAACCCAATACAAACCTTTTGTTTCTGCCTCATTGTTCTAACCCCTCTCTTTGCTGATTATGCAGTAAAACACAAACCCCATGAACCTAAGAAATATCACTATCACAAACAATAGTCCAGAGAATATTATTTAAAAAAACATGATATTGCTAACTTCTTATGGTGGTCCAAAGTGTTATCCACATGTCGATATTTTGTGTTATCCACATAAAAACATGTGGATATGACACTTGAGGACATGATTTAATGGTGAACATGGTGGTGGTGCTGGGTTGACGGTAGGACTTGATGATCTGAGAGGTCTTTTCCACCCCATAACATTCAGACAGTTAAGGGTCTGCACCTTCTTGGTGACATCTCCAAACAGCCTTAAGAAATGAGGAACACAGAGCTGGGGAGGAGGACAGGATGAAGAGAAAAGGAGAGGCAGTGAGTATGGACTAAGCTCCTGGCCTGGGAAGCCATAGAGCAAGACAGCAAATTGCAGATAATTTTGTCAGGCAGCTGGCAAGCTCAAGAGCTCAGCCACAGAGCATCTCAGTCCCAAGGGCCAAACAGCATCACTAGGGAATGCCTAGCCAGCTGAGGAGGAGACACAACATGTACAGCCCATGCAGTCCGTGGGCATGCTCATGCTTGGCCTGGTGCTGATGACTTGATCATTTCTGGTTCTAAGTTTTATCTGGCTGCAAACTTTCCATACCATTTACCAGCATTACCAAGACCTCAATAAGGATGTGACCCTAAATATAGGCACGCAGCACTGACAAAGCAGTTGTTTTCAGTTCCAACGCTGAATGGACAGGAAGGTTAACTCGCCACGATCCAGCTCAGCCAAAGCCATGGAGCATGGCTGGTTTACACTGCCACATACAATTTAAAAGCTAGCAGTGGTACCTCCAGGTTCTCAGCGCTGCAGGCAGGGAGGAGAGAGCTGCTGCTGTCTCCTCTTTCCCCACCGAGAGCTGCAGGAGGACCAAACCCACTCACTGGCTTTCAGGTTATGGAGTAGAGTCACTTCTTCCCCCGAACGACAGCAGAGGTTGCCAGCTTTACATCACTGTTATACGACATGGCTAAAGGTTTACCATCCTTATCCAAGACTAAAGAAAGGAACTTAAAATAGCCATATAAATAAGGTAAGCACAGAAATTCATATAATTTGATGCTCACAAAAAACATAAGCATGTTAAGGAAATTACCCAGTCTGACCACTCATGAGACTCTCTGGCAGTCGCACTCCCAAGGCCGGAGACTGTCACTGCTGGGGCAGAAGTCCCTTCACAGGGCATGGCTCAGTGAGCTGACGGTGCCCAGCTTGATTCCCCACACACCCCACTCACACAGTCAGACCAGGTTTCCTTACTGGTTCAAACCCAAGTTTCCCATGGCAGTCTCAGATGTCTCATTCCACAAAGCCATTTATTCACAGCACAGTAACACAGAAACAGCCCGAGCTGGTACCTCCAAGGACCCCCAACCAAGAAACCCCTGGGCTTTTATACCCTTACAGTCTACCCATGCACAAGTCTTGCTCTTCTTGTCCGTGTCCCTCCACCTCCCTGGTGTCACCAGTCTTCCTCTCCTTTGTTACCTAAAAGGTCAGCAATTCCTGGCTCCTGCTGTGTCTCTCAATGTCCATCTACCTACCTGGCTTCACCCATCTTCGTGCCCTTGGTTATCCCAAAGGTTGACAGTTCACAGCCCTGCGTCTTGGGCTCCCACCCAGATCTCAGTCTGTTTGCAAGCAAAGCTACCTGGACTAGATGTCTTCCTCAACAAGCAGCAGATTTAAGAAGAACTGGAATGAGATGGCTTATTTGTTACACTCGGCAAAGTCAGAACTGAAAGAATGAGGGTGGAGGGTATAATTTCTGACAAGTATCACATTTCAAACATTATCTTAAATAGGTGTAAGCTTTTTTTAAAAAAAAAAAAAAGGAAAAAAGAGATAAAAAAAATGGGTAAGGAAAAAATGAAAAAGGGAAAAACAGTCAGGGAAGAAAAAATGGGAGAAGAAAAACGGAGGAGAAAAAAAGGGAAAACAAAAAAGAGAGGGGAGGGGGGAAACCACACCTAAAAATATCTTCAGTTTTTTCCCAAGGTCCTCTACAAGTTTTTGTTTATCTGAGCAAGCCACAAATGTAAGCCTCTGTATCTGCATGCCAATTACAGCCCAGTTACTGTGAATCCAGGTACGCTATGAATCAGCGTTGGCCCGAGGCTTGCCCAAACAGAGCTTTCTGCTCTGTAACTGTGCCTCATGTTGGAAGTTCCCCAACTCAGTCCAAAGTCCTGCTTTCCTTACTACTGTCTTTTTTGAAATTTTTACACCACTCCAGCCAATCCTGTCCCCTCCCTTTGCTTCCCTGGTGGCTGGCAGCTCTGGAAAGTGGACAACACAAGTGCATGTTCAGGCTGAGATAAGGGCTGTGGTAGTCACAACTGTGTTTAAATTCACTGCTGGCTTTACTAGAGACAAAACCAGGCACTGCAAAGCCTCAAAATAATGTCAGAAGAAATCTGAAGTTACTAAAGGTATAAAGAGATCCACAAAACACAGACAGAGCTCCCTTTTGCAGAATAGCTGGCTGTTAAATTTAAGCACTCACTTTTTAGTATCAACTCTGAGCTGATTGTTATCGGACACAGGAAAACTCAGTTTAAGAACCCAAGTACTTCAGAATACCTACACACCACCCTTCATTTTCTTTTTAAAATAAGGCTTCACAATTTATAAAGAAAATTACCTCACTGGGGAGGTATATGAAAAAACCCTCTCTGTTTTTAACCAGACGCCACAGGCAGCCGTGAATAATTTCTTTACAAAGTAACTGAAACCATACCCCTTTTTTTACAACTGGCATCTCATCAACCCATAATCCTCACAGATTAACACTGAAGTTCAGTTTCCACCTAACTACTCCTTTGGATTTCTTTGTACATCACAAATGACTACCTAAGATACTGAGTTTGTGCAGGACTGCTAGAGTTTCACAAAACGTACAAAGCAAATGCTACCGAACTTCAAAATGTTGTAAAATAACTTCAGAACTGGTTAGTAATAACTGTTACTGATCTCTGAAAATGCACACCTCCATGCTCCCTATTCAGACTAGGGCACAGGGCATTTAAGTGCAAATTTTCTGTCCCTCCTCTGTCATCTCCCCCCCCCTCAAACTGTCTCAGTGCTGCCACTTTCCTGTTCCCATGAAACAATGCCAGAACAGGTGAACCACAAAATGGCAGGCTTCGATTAACTGCTGTTTTTTCTAAATTAAGCTCACCAGTCATGGTAAAGTTAAAAGAAAAAATTATAACAATAATTAAAAGAATGGTTTCAGGAATTACATTAGTTCTTTCTTCCTGTACACCTTAAAAGCATAATTAGCCACAATGGTAAAATATACAAAGTGTAGCAAATTGTACTATCTGACAAGCTGGCTTGGAATTTCTTCTGCACAAAACATTATCCCCTGTATTTGTCACAGGAAAAAATTTCAATATTCCATTTAGAGATAAAACTAAATTCAAAGCCAAATGCTCCAATTAATTTTGTTAATCACCCTTTACTACATGATGGTTAATCATTTAAAATTCCATAATACTGGCAACAAACTGACCATAAAATTGCCATCGCAGTTTCTTCCAGGGAAAACTGCTTTTAAAGAAGAGGGTGATAAGGCAGGTCTGCCTATTCATTATTAAAAAATTACAGCGTGAATGTTAACTAACATAACTAAAAAGCTGGTTGCTGGCCATCTCTCAGCAGGGCTTCACGTGAAACAGATGCTGTTCTTACAGTTTTCTGCAGGTTATAATTTATACTACAGGCAAGTAATCACCAATGTGTGACAGCTGTGCTTTTGAAGGGCTAAAGCTACATCTTATAGATGAAAAAACCTACCACCATCCGTTATTCTGCACATAGATCCCTAAAAACTAAGTGCTTCAGTATCATGAGGCCTACTGCTAATTTCCGTTAGTCCAGGAGAAAAGAGAAGCTTATTGTTTTAGAGTCATAAAACAGTACTGAAAAAAACAGTAACTTAAAAAAACCTAAATCCTTCATATTAAGCAGTCATCGCTTAGTAAACTTAAGTCATTAATGATGGTGGTTTCAGTTTTGTTTTGCTGTGAACTTCAGGCTTATAAATATTTTACTGTGGAATTAGTACAGCCTTTACAATGTCTGATCCTCTCTCAAAGGCATAACGTGGAAGTGACTGAAAAAACTGGTACAAACTTCAAAGAGCAAAACAACTCATTTCACTGTTGAGACCAAACATGCGCATGAATAAAATCAAGGAAACTTTAAACAAGGGAAGAAAAAAAAATCAGCTGAAAAAAGAGTAGGTGGGAAATTCTAGTTACAATTGGTCTCATTTCAGAGGCAGCCTACAGCAAGCTGTGCTTGAACCGGGTCTCTTCCACACAGCAGTCTTGCAGTTCAAGCCGGCAGCTGTGGCCACAGCCAATGCTTGTCTGCAGTGGGTAGAGAGATGACAGGGGCCTTCTTCCCCCATGTCCTCTCCTTACCTCCTGTGGGGTGCCTTCACAGCCCTGGGCCCCAGACTCTAGCCCATTAGAGTCAGGCAGGATAGCTCCCTGCCAGAAACCATGGGCTGAGCTACTACCAGTGCTGCCTGTCTTGCATCCTGAGCAGGAGCTTTCCAGCAGTTATGCTGGTCCCTGCCTGGCCTGCATTCATCTACTTTCCAAGGAAACCCACAGCATGCACAGTAGCTAGCAGGATGGAGAGTAAGAAACAGATAATTAGGTAGCATCTCCTTCACAACAATAATCTCTGCAAAGTGGCAGCTCTCCATTTCTCAGGATTTTGCTTTTAAAGAAAACCAGACTGCTTCAACTACAACGGATGATAGGAACAATACTGTACTTGTCTGCCTCCAAAGTATCCCTGAAACCCTTGGACACCAACGGTTACAAGGATTACATATTTTCAGTTTCTGGCAGCAATTTGCAAACCATTCTCATGTGACCAGCAACAAAAAAAAACTCCACAAAAGTGGAGTTTCACAATTACTCATGCAAGTAAAAGTTCACACACAAGATATTATTACAGTGAATATGGATTCACAAAAACGATCCACTACAAAAATTCACACAGACACATTAAGTGGTGCTTAAGTAACACACTGAGGAAATGCCAGTTGCAGTGTGAATAATTAATATGAACAGCAAGTGAATAGTTGGCAAGAGGTCTCAAATAATGTTTGAGTATGTAAGACCTTCTTGAATAATAACCTAACTTATTTGTTTGGTCACAGTCTGTTCTCAGATAATTCACTACTAAGAAAAAAAAAGAGCGATTTTCATCAGCAATTTACTGAGAACAGCTCATGTCAATTTACTCTGTGAACTGTTCTTCATGTCATGTTGAGTTCTTGTTTTGCTTTTGGTAGTAAAAGGTTGTATCAGAATATCCCTTTGGAACCAATGTCAAAAGCATGAGTGAAACCAAAAAGCTGTCTGCATCCCTGGAGACAGTCCAGGTGTGGAGCCTAGTGGATGAAAGGAGACTACCCCACCTTTGAAATCTGTTCTCCAAAAATGCTTCAAATGCATGCATTAAGTGAGGGACTGTTTTTTTTAAAAATGTGAACTCTTTGAGCTTTTCTCTTGAGAATTGTTTTCTCTTTGGGGATACATTTTCTAAGAGAACTTACACAAAACGTGTATTTTAGGCATTAATTATTATTAGACATCCAAAATAATTACTATGCTGAGCATACTTACACCAGTAAGTCAGGCTAATGTGCACATTTTATAGCTAACTGTACACCCTCAGAAAGTTAAAAGTACTCAAGCTGCATATTCCAGTTTTTTGGTATACATGTTTACTCAGGAATGTACTGCCTATTAAATAAGAGCAAACTAAACCTATGAAGAGCAAAGAAAAATCTTCTTGGTACTCTGAGCAGGACCCTGCCTTAATCTCTGGATGAAGTTGATGAATGAAACTCTTCACCATTATCAGCTGTGCAACTGGGATTGCAAGCCACCTGCCAACAGTATTAATGCCATTTTCTCTGTCTCTTACAGAATTAACAGCATTCAATACAACTATTCATGTTATTCCCTTGTTGTTTTTTGTCATTAAGCTTTTTTCCACCATTAGTCACAGCCATCTTGGTGCAAAAACATCTCATAGAAAATGTTTTTATTAACAACCTGTGAGGGTGATATCATCATCTTCTATGATTTGCTCTTCTGCGACGTCCAGAGAGTTTTCAGTGATCATGTCACTAGGTTCATCCACACAGGTTAAGCCAGAGTAGTTATGCAGGAGTTCTGCACTAGGAACATGCTCCACGATGACAGCAGGGAAAATGGATGGATCACCAAGCTGGAGGATGGGGGAAACAAATCAACAACAAAACAGCAGTTAGACCACATCCAATCTAACCACTTACTGATTAATACTTCAACAGACCTATACTACATCACTTGAATGTCAGACTGTCAGGAGACAGTACCTAAGAACAAGATGATTTTTAGCACATGAAACCAAATAGCAGCAGTGTCCCATTATGAGACAGAGGCTGAATATCACTGAAGTATTTAATGTATTGACTTTACTCCAGTACGCAATACCAGACTTCTATGACATGATTTTACAGCATTAAAGTTGACAATACAGAGGAGTGGCACAGCGCAGTAGGTGAAAAACTTTGCTGACAATAATACTGCATGAGCGACTTGCTGCAAGCACCTTTATCTTTTGCTCTTCCCATCAAGTTGGGGGTGGAGGAGTCCTGTGGCTGTCAGGACTGGATGAAGCTCTCACAGGCACTAAGTTTCTCATGAGATATTATTTGAAGTTCACTATTTTAGGAGACACTTGCTAAAAGATGAAGGTGTGTAATGGGTTGATATAAGTGCTCTAGTACATTCCCTCTCTAATTTTTATGGTTTTAGTCACTTGACATTCCTCACACCACACCCTCCCTGCCACTTTCCTTCCTAAGTCTGCTTTCAGACATCATCCTGTTGTCTTGATAGTTATTTTGCATCAGAGATACAGAAGAGAAGAGGTAGGTAGAAAACAGAAATCAAGCTGACCAGCAATAATAATGAAATGCACATTCTCTGAAATCATTCAACAGGAAGAGGTTTTCAGAAAATAACATCTACTACAGACACAGTATTTTCTAAACTGAGTCTTTTAAAATGTCATTTGCAGGAAGAAAGTCATAGCTGGTGATAGCAGAGCAGATTCAAAGAAAGTCTACTGTAACTTTAAGGTTCCCTCATTACAAAAATAAAACATGCTATGAATGTAGTAAGCTTAAAACCAAGAAAACAAACCAGAAAGTTGCTAAAACACGTTTCTGAGAGAACCAGTATAAGTACATTTGGTCTTGCTCTCCACAGAAGAGCACAGATATGTACAGATTACAGAATCATAGAATGGCCTGTGTTGCAAGGTTCATCTAGTTCCAACCCTCCTGCCCGACACTTTTAACTAGACCACGTGCCTCAGAGCTCCATCCAGCCTGGCCTTAAACACTTCCAGGGATGGGGCATTGCAACTGCTCTGGGCAACCTGTTCCACTACCCTTCTACCTTCACAGTAAAGAACTTTTTCTAATATCCAATCTAAACCTGCTCTCTTTTAGTTTGAAGCCACTCCCACCTGTTCTGTCACTACATGCTCCTGTATATGGTCTCAGTATATGGTATATGGTCTCAGTCTTTCTTGTAGGCTCCCTTCAGGTACTGGAAGGAAGAAACACAAGGTAAAAACCCAACCATATGATTATGATCTTGCTCAGGAATTGCTCATGTCTCACTCTTGCCACTACACACACCGTCACCAATGGAAAATGGTATCAGAGCTATTGGCTCAACACAGACAAAGCTTCCCCTAGGGAAGAGTCTGGACCATAAGTAAGTACTGAAAGTAGAAAGTGCAATTAGAAGTTTTAAAAGGCAGTAATTACCACTTCAAATTGCTCTGTGTTTTGTAAAACATGCCTCAGCAAAAACTGTGGTAAAGGGTAACCAGGATAAAAGGAAGAACTAAGAAACAAAACTGGTATTTTAATGGGCTTCTATCATGGACAGTCTGCTAAGCAAAAAAATGCCAACAAAACCAAAATTAAAAAAAATCTCAACAAGTAACTGACTGACTCTGTTAAACATAAGCTTCAAAAGAGAGCAATATGGTAGGAGATCAATAAAAATGAACAAAGTGCAGACCAGTTAAAGCCCTCTTGTGCAATCATGTTGCCAGATAACAGGCATATATTGAGTCAAGCAATGGGATAGCTTCTACCCCACACCTTTGTGGCTACCTCTAACCAGCGCTGCATCGTGCCGGAGCATAGAAACCAGAAGTCATTGGTGGCCAAGAGGTCCCTGCTGTTCCTCAGAAGAGTCATGTCCACATGGTTTATCCTGTTTGTTTACTGACCCCAACATCCTTGATCCTATTTGCTTCCAGGCAAGATTAGATTAAATAAAAGCCACATCAATAAAAAAAGACAAAGCATTGTAAAGAGAGAAGAAAAAAAACCACAAACTCTATGCATTAAAAAAAAGTTTTATTTTTAACAATATGTTCCATAAGCTATAGGAAGATGGTCCATGACAACTTTCTGAGATAAAATTCATATTCTAAAAGTAGTTTAAATACCTCAAATTCAGTAATATGCCACAGTACATAATTTGGGGATGTAAGTTTCATCTATCGCATGCCCATATGCAACTACGTTTAAAGAAAATTTGAAAAAGGATTATATACAGCTATCTACTCAGGCTCCAGTCACCTGCAAGCAAGAACAGTACATGCTTTGCAAGTACCTTTTCAGTATTCCAGTGACCATGTAAGAACTATGGATTTTAGGTAGGGAAGATGCAAGTAAGAAGGCTTCAGTCTTCTCATCCTGCTCTAGTTTACAGACGCTAAGGGTGAGGTTCATCTCACCTAACTTCGGACAGCTGGTGGTGCAGGCACTGGGACATGAGCTGGGAACCCCAGGTTTTATTCAGAGCCAACAGACAGAGATGGTATTTCTAGGGCACAGTTCCCCTCCCCAGTTTTAGGCTCCTGTGCTGCAATAGGGTGAGTCATGCCCTAAAACCACCTATTTCTCTGCATTGACTATAAAAGGGGGGAGGCGTTGGGGTGTTCATTTCTGATGTAAGCAACTGTGTCCCACACACACTCATCAGCAAAATAATTTATTTCTAATACAAAGGTGGTTCTGCATGCACTAACCAAAAGGTGGAGTGCACACTATCCCAAAACTTTAAAAGGTCCCAAATTAGAGTGGATAAATCAGCAATGATTTTCAAGAAATTGACACAGAGATCCATAGAAGAATAATTTGTGTATTTTTTTTTCCTTTTGCCTACCTCTGCTGTTTCATCTTTCTTATGTAAAATACAGTTAAAATATGACACCCTAGCTCTGCCAAAGCTTTGACTTGACTTCAGCCCATCTCCCATATCTGCTGGATACATAAAGGAGTTGAGCTACTGCTGAAACCCTCCCAAATCTCAGACACCAAATTCCTTGCTGTAGTTTATCTACAAACCTGTCCTGCAGACTGATCTTTAACAATTCAGAGGAGTGCAAAGCTTCATACAGATGCTGAAGTCCCTGGAAAATCGCATGAGCAGGTCCCTGAAAGCACTGGTCATGCTCCATAACCCCCTGAAAACTGAACCCTCTCCTCCTCCAGGGTCAAAGACAACAATCTTCCTTCCTGCTCTCAAATTCTTCCAGTGTGTTTGACATGCTGACAAGGTGTTTCTTTTTTTCTCTGAGAATTGTCTCATCAGCTGTCACCAACTGACAGAAGATCAAAACACCATTTTGGTTGTGGAAATGGCAAACAAGGAAGGTGACTTCTTCCGCTTTGGAACTGTTCTCATACTACAAGTCTTCTAAGGAAGATAAGTTGTCCCAGGAATGTGGTAACTAGCTTCTAACTGGTGTGGAATAAATTTTGTGCAAGTGAGAGATGGGTGGGAAGAAACACATGTAATAGAGAGGAGAAGGGAAAAGCTACATGGAAAAAAATAAAAGGAGAAAGAAACCTCAGGGAAAAAAAAAAAGTCTGTCTTTTTAACCAAACGACAGAATTCAGACTCACAACGCAGATGGCTATTTATTAAAAGAGAAACCAGAAACAAAACAATGCAAAACCTAAACAAAACTAGGTGAAGTGACCTTAGTGACTAGAAAATGGCCTTCAGTTTTCTCTTGCTGAAGGTTCCTATGTGGCGGCAGAGGCAGTCTCTTGGCTTTAAAGGCATTCCCATGGCCAGCATCTGAGGATTGCTGCAGGCAGGTATATGCTGCTTGTTTTCCTGGGGAGACAACCTCATTACAGATTTCACAATTTTCCTTAAAGTCTTCATAAAACTGCAAGTGGATAAGGGAGGGAACTTTCTGCAGAAGCTGGAAATAGCCAAAAAAATTAAGACATTGGTCTTGACCAGTGACTGCTTCAGGAAGCCCATGGCGACAGCGGGGAATGTGGAAGAGCGAACTGAAGCATGAGATGATGGTGCAGAAGTCATGGCCCGACCTAAAGGCCTGGACCTCTCTTCCGCAGAAGAAGGGAAGAGAGAAGCATCCCTCAGAGATAGAAAAGGAGTCTTCAGGTACTGGTTACTACACCCATCAGAGCCACTTGAGAGAGCACGTCCTGGCAAAGAACAGTCATGCTGGGAACCCTGTTACCAACTTAATGGTTGTAATGATTCAACTTGTCCCTGGTACCATTTAAAGCTTCCTAGTATGGATCTAGCCACTCTGGCTGCTTTTATTCAACATTTTAAATTAAGAATGTCTTGATCAAATATCACATTAGCTGTAAGTCCACAAAGGACTAAATGAAAAGACGTTGACAGAAGAAGTTGCAGACAGGAAGAGAAGTAGGTTTAGGGAGCAGCACTGACTCAGCTAAAGCCTGTACAAGCTCCTGGACAGTTTTATCTGTGCAGTTTCTCCCTCTCTCCCACTCTCTCAACAAAAATATAACCCAAACAAAGCAAAACAAAACAAAAAAAAACACAGAAAGGAGGAAAAATAACAAACCCTCTATTTTAACCAGATCTCTGTCATGCAGCAGAAGCCAGACAGGTTATCAGTAGCCTTAGCCCAAGCCACTTGTTCCCTTCTCAAAATTACGAGGATATTTTCTTCCTGTTTCTTCCTCACCATACATCTACCACGTGATAAAGGAATCTCTCAAGAAAAAAAAAAGTCATTCTGTTCTAAACTGCAAAGGATAAAGCTGATAAGAGCAAGCCTTTCCCGTTCACACGGGTCCATGTGATTGAGCCCCTCCCATTGCCATTTGCCACTGAATGCTGAATGCTTACATTTGCAAATGGACTGTTCATAATTTACAGTTGTTTAACCAAGACTTAAAAAAAAAAAAATTAAACAAAATAGCCATGAATTATGACTTCCCTGAAATACTGAGCATAGCTGCCATTTAGACCCTGAACCTCTCCCTGCAGCTGTTCCATGTCCCAACAGCTCTTGGCACAACTGAGTTCCAGGCAAAGCTTTGTCAAGAAGAAAAGTACCGAAGTTCTTGCAATGACAGCTTGCAATGATGTGGGGGTATCACAAAAATAATTATCCAAAGATCAGTTAAATTACACCTCTGTGTAAATGTCACATTTCATATACTGATGAAAATCAAAAAAATGCTTTTGCCCAACAGAGAGCACTTACAGAGCTAAAACTTTTAAAAAGTACAAATTATGTTATCCATCCTTAAATACACTTAATCTATCCAAAATTTAAAAACTTCCAGAGTAGCAACAGCTCCTATGTGGTAAGAAGCAGATCCATCAAGTATAAGCAAGAAGTAGCCTCTTCAGGCTAATGTTGTGCTACAAATCCTTGTCCAAATTAAATCTTGCTCCAGCTTCCCAGGTCTTTACTCCTGCAGTCTTTGCAGGACTTCTCTTCTACAACTGAGTATTCCAGATTTAACTAACTGCACCTTTGATATCTGAACTAAGTCAACCCAGTGATTTAAGAGGAGCTTGCATCTGACAGTTTGCAGTGATAGACTTTCTGCTATGTACTCTCTACCTTTGATTTCATCACCTTTAAGCGTATGCTACAGGATGCCTTCTTGCCTTAGGCTTCTCTGGAGCAGAATTTAGTAGGGTTATGAGATAAAAATCACGATGGAGTTTGTTCCGAAGCTGAAGAAAGCTCTGCTAAGAGAGGTTTTACTGTCCTTTTGAGTGCTCTTTAGTATTTTTAAAGTTTTTCAGGTGCGCATCTGAAGAAATTGCAAGAGGCAGAACACACAGCTAAACTGAACAAAACCATGTCTGCTCACACTGCCCCTCCCAGGAACCACACTACTGAAGTAACCCTTCCCATCTCAATTCTCCCCTCTCCCATTGGCTTGTAAAGTAAAGACAGCAATGAACAACCAACAGAAGTAATAAGTAAGGCTCATTTTCGACTACACTTGTGCAATTCCCATATCTAAATCCCCAGGCTACCACAAGCTCTGGAAAAATACAGGGAAGGAAGTTACATTACTAATTCCACCCAAAACTGAGTTAGCACTTGAGACAGACAACACTCAGTTCATTGAAATGATCGCATGACTCTGACAGCAGAAACAGGCCACTGACCCAGCCAGATATTAGGCCATACAGAAAAACAGAGACAAGATTATGAAGCCAAAAATACTTTTTTTAAACAGAGAATAAATGCTTTTCACATTAACAAAAAGAGGAACAGTTTGTCATGGCACTTCTCGGCCTTTTAAGAACTGTTTCTCCACAGTACCCAGACACTTAATTTCTTGTAAATAAATGTAAAATCTACTATTAACTACCAGCTACAGAGGAGGCACCTGATTTTTACAAGAGGAATCTGACACTGAAGCTTCAGGACTTAGGATGTGGTTTAAATAATCAATATCTAACTGAGAGACTACTCAGGTAGAAACAGGCATATTTTCTCTGCAGTGTGAAAAAAACCCAATTTAAATTACATTCAAGCTTATTTCTGAATAGTTGATATACAATGACACAATTTAGAAACCAATCTGTAAATAACAGCAAGCAGGTACATACTGTCCCTTGCAGTCATCTATAGCGCGACCATTACTTTTTTTCAGAATTTTATTCTAGCATATCCTAGAGAAGTTGAAACTACAGTAAAATACCAGAATTTGGGAAATTGTACATCACACACACATGGATTCTACTGGCACAAATCAGCAAAACAGAAAAAAACTTTTTTGGAGGAGCATGTCTCTCCAATACTGCAGAAGTTACAGCATTTCAATCAATTTCTGTTCTGCCCGTGCAAGTTACAGGAAGCAACCGGAAGCTCTTGAAACAGCACTAAGATCTGCTGCAACAATAATGACCTCAATGTTTCCTTTTTGTGTTTTACACCACACTTTTTCCTCATCTTTAACAATACTCTTAGCACTGACTTGTACAAATATGGTTTCTTACACCGTCCCATACCTGCTGCTCATCCTCCATGACGTTGCTGGCAAATTCAAACACAAGCTCATTCTGCTGTACAACTGCTGCCATAATAACGCATTCCCAGGTCTCAGCTCCACATACAAAGAAAAATGTTCTCAAATGCAAAAGAATGGAGAATGTCACCGAGGTCCAGCTGAGCAGAAAGGCAGGATCACAAAACGAATTGAGTATCAGTGTTTGTATTTCTTAGATCATCAGTGTTCCTGGGTTCTTCTCTTCTCAAAGTGAAACAAACCAAGGCAAATCCTTTCCTGAGTTATTCTTTCCACCTCAATAGCCTTTGTCACTGCAGAGAGAAAAATAAAAAAATTATCATTAAAAAATTATTACTTTAGCTATGCAAAATAGTAGCAGTTGCAATAAAGCAATAAAACTGTTCTATCTAAGTCCAAGGAAGTCAAACAGTTCTGTGTCTCCAAAGGTATTAGTTTAACTGATTAACACATGTGAATTTTCATTCCCTGAAAGAAATTTTCATTCCTGAAACAAAACTGTTTCAGGAAGTAAGACATCAGTTTCAAAGTGTTTCGTATTAAAGGCATGCCACTAAGGAAAAGTGACAGAAGTTAACAAAAAGAAAATCCATGTTTTCACTTGATTCATATATGCAGTTTTCACATTCATTAGTAACTCTCATCTTTACAGTTTACTCAAAGTAAAAATACAAACCCTAGACTGACCTACTCGGCTGTAGATATCTCAAGTACATCACCTTTCTTCTTCACGCACAGTTCAAATTTAGCAAAGTTGCTATTTTGCAAGTAAAGCGCTCTAGATCTTTCCCAGTGTGAAAATGATAAAACCAGTAAATAAATTCTTTGTACAATCCAGAGAGTCCCCAAGTTCCTACATGAAACAGATCTTCAGCTTCATGTTAAAATGCACTGTGCGCGTACCCTTATCTCTACCACAGGCTCGCAAGCAGCCGGAAGGAAACAGCACTGACCACGTCATGGCAAATTAGAACCGGCAAAGAAACTGCACAAAGCAAAAAAAAAATTCCCAAACTACAGAACGTAAACAGCTTCAGTGAAGGATGTGTGCCTACAGATCCCATGTTTTGACTTACTCATCAGCACCAAAGGTAAATACGGTGAACACGAGCTTAGGAGGAGGTTGTGCTGCTCCACTCCTGGGGAAAAAGGCCAATGCAAAACCTCATCTTCGTATACAACTATGGTGACCCATAAGTTAACAAAAAAATCTACCATTTCAAAAGGATAACAGGACCAGGTGTCTAAAATTAGGAACTTAAGAGAGTATGTTGGTGCCTAGGAATTTAAACCCATGTATTTTAAAGGAAGCAAAATGTGTAGTTCCTAGCATTTTGAGCAAAATTCTTTACACTGCCTTTGATTAAGGGCAGCTGTGACAGAAGATTTAGGGGAAGAGGTCTGCCTAACACATATCCATCCAGAGTGAGACCCCCAAAAAAAGCCTCAGGGCAACTTCAGTGCCATTGGCAAGGATCAGCATCTGCCTTTGTACAGGAGGTTTATCTTGGCCTTTTTTTTGCAGTAGGCTGAAACTCAAAAAAATGAAGGGCATCTTCCTCTCCCCAGTGCCAAGCAATTTAATTAGGGAGGATCATGTCAGAGACTCATACTCCTTCACTCTAGGAAATGTGACAGCTGTTTTTCCTATATAGATTGTGGTATTCCCAAATTCCTAAGTAGTGATGGCAGAGCATTCAAGCATTTAAGTCACTAGACCCTACCCTTCTAAGAAATCAGGAAACCCAAGATTATGCAAACAGGAGAACCTCCCCAACTTCCAAAGTGTGCTCTAATTAACTGTTAAAGGGCTCATAAAAGTAGCCACAACCCTAATTAGAGAATATTTGCTTTAATGAGAGTCACATGCATGAACAGAGAAGGATGTGCTGTAGGAGCCATGACTATTGAACCTCAGCCCTTGTCATTTTGCTGGTTGACTTGAACAATTAACACAGCTTTCTCTATACTTCAGCAGGGTTATAGCACTGAAAGCACTACATGCAACCATATAACCTTGGGTGACTTTCCCAAATGCAATTATTTGGTCTTGCCTTTTAGAAAATAAGGATAGTTAGGAAGCTAGACGCACATTGCCTGCACAGTGGGACTTAGCCCAACTTGGCCTATCCTAGAGTCCTACCATCCTATATTCCAGCCTGAAAATAAAGTACATAACTATACAATATATAGTTTAACATTTCCTACAGACAGTGATTGAAGTGGGTCAATCTATGTCAACAGGGACATACCAGCTCTTTCGGAAGAGAGAACAGGTATGGAAATTTATTGAAGTACAACTTCTATTTTGATTACTGCTTAGAAATCAGTTGTAACTCTCCAGTAAGATTAAATAATATTTTAAGTCACTCCCTCTAATCAGTGAAGAGTAACTTCACTCTAGAGGATCACAAGGCAAATACAAGAATCTCCTCCATTATCAAATGGAACTTATTTTTAAATTAGGGTTAAGCTAATTGTCCAGGGACAATCAGAGCCAGAATACTGCAAGGGCTTATAATCATGGCCATTACACTACCTGAAGCCACATGTATGAACAAGGAGTAGAAGTTCTTAAGATCCAGTAATTTTCTAAGGTCAGTAACAATTAATAGCATCAATGTAAAATCAGGATAAATGACAAGTTAGAGACATAGGCTCTCTAGCAACCTCATGAAGTATAAGGAAAACTGGAGGTGAAGCCACTCTAAGATAGATTTTTAAAGTTCCCCATGTGCACTGACAAATAACATTTTTTTCTGTTTGTGCCAGGTTATTCATTATTCTGTAAAATATTAATATTTTACAGTAGATACTACAATACCAAGATGCACACTAAATGCATAAGATCCAAAAGCTGTGGCAGCAAACTTACTAAAAGCCATAAAGAAACATTTCCTTACTTTATTTTAAAAAAAAAGACATAATAAAACCTCCAGTGCAAATCTAAACATAATGATTTAATACCATTTAAGAGATTGCAGCAGCATAATGCATTTGATCAATACAAACACCACTTAAACCAGTCACACTTCATGCTAACAAGAAGTTCCTAATTATCTGATACCACTGCAAGAACAGGTATTCAAAATCTGTTTTACGAATCCTGCCCTGCAGTGATGCAGTGATGTAAGTATACTCCTTCTCCCCTACTCCCCCTCCCCAAAGCCACCAAGGACTCTATAAATAAAGTCAAATGATACGTTCTTCTTACACAAAAAGAAACATCTAACCTCAACCTTAGGACCAAAGACAAAGAGACGTGATCGAACAGGCTTTAGTAAGCTTTTATATCTAACCTTATAAAGATTAGAGACGCAAACTATTATTATTTGCAGGATATTTTTCATTACTTCTGTAGTAGTACATAATAACAGCAAATGATCTATTGGGCAATAATGGTACGGCAAAATAATGCAAAAGTATTTTCCTTTAACCCATATCCTTTTCTCTGCCATATAGAAAACAAGAGCAGCTTTTCACAAAAGCCAGCAGAATTCTAAAACAGCTATATTTTCCTCCACATCTATTCTTATAAACTGTGCTTTCATTATTCCAACTATCACAGGGTCCTGCTGTCTATAGGCTAACACAAACATGGCTATTGTTTTTGCTAAATAATGCCACTTATCTGATTTTACATACATCTGTGAGTAGAAAATAAGTTATTTGCAAACAGCATAAAATGTGTAAATTGTATTCAAATGCACAGTAAGCTTGACTACATACAAATAATCCTAGGAGAAAGGGAACTCTGTATATATTACCATAAAATTTACATCAAATTTTCAGAATTATAGAGGAAGTAAGGTCTTGCTTTCATTTTTACTACTTGTTGTAAAAATATATTATAAAAAGGAGTATTAAGACACTACAATATATACAAACATCTTAATTTTACGTAATCTTTGAAACTGAACTCAAAAATAAATTATTTCAATTTCTCTAGAAATTCCCTTCATCCACTGATTTCAACATCTAGAAACAAGCTCCTCAGTCAGTCTGTCAAATGCACATTCACTCAATTTAACCCTTGGTACATGCTACTCAGGTATCCCAGAACATACACTGCAGTATTCCTTCCAGCTAGACATCATAACTTTTTTTCCATCACTCTTCCCCACATATACCCTGCACTTAATCCTAGCCCTGTTGAGCTACTAGCTCAGAAGCTTGTAAGAAATGCTTCCAGAATCAACATTTTTGGTCACAATGGTGAAGCTGCAATACTGAAACTAGGTTCCAACTCTGAGGTAACAAAGCCATCATTTCTCCTTTAACTCCTGAGCCAATACAGCCCATACTACCACTGTGACAATATGAGCCAGAATAGCCCATACTACCTCAGCATTCAAGCCCTGTAATGCAGAACACTGGAATTTAACATAGTGGCACCACACTGGAGCAGGTGTAGCAGTAACCAAAGTACCAGGCACAAACCCAAAAATTTGCTGAAGAATCTCAGCTATGAACTTGGAAGGCTCAAGTCTTGGTACTGAGAGCATCCTGGCTGAGCTGAAAGATGTCTCCAGCAAGCTACTGGATCCAGTCCCACTTAGGGTTACTAAAGATGACTGTAATCATCCTGCACTGCCTTTTTCATGAAATTAGTAAGATCATTCATACATTTGAAATAAGAACCAGCTTAGCTGCCTTAAGATTCAAATGCAGATCTGAATCCTGAGTTACTGATGAAACAACTCAAGTCATCCAGCACAGGGACAAATGGCTTGAGATTGGAATTTCCCCTTGGATTTCCTGAGACAGACTGCAGCACTAGCTCTAGCCTAGAAATGTCAAAGTTGTGACTTAAATACAAAGCTGAACTCCCTTCTCTACACCATCCTGGATGCAGAAGGAAGAGAGGAGTGAATGAGAGAAGAGGGAAGATTAAAGACATCACCTGGAAATTCTGAACAGAAGGACTGAAAACCATCTCAAAAGTGAGGTCAGACAAACACATGGATGGTAACCACATCATTTCACTCAAGTTTCTAACTCCATTCTACCACTGGAGGTTAAAGATGTATCAACTCAGAGTCAGTCCACCCTCGGCAGAGTCACATCTCTAAGTATCATCATAGAGTCAGGGGGGCAAAGCTGAATGATATCGCAGTTCTCTGAATACAAAAGTCCCAAACCCACAATGATCTTTATGTATAGCCCACACTAAGCACAAATGTTAACAGTATAGCCTACTGTGCCATTTTCATGGACTAATTATTCCTATTCAGTAATATTATTAAATTGCACAGGACAGGGGCTTTGAACCATGTTCTCAGACATTTTTAGT